TCCACGCCCATCTGCGACTCCAACACGCACACAACAACACCTCCGGCGACGTGTCCAAACAAATTGCCGACATGCTTGGTCGTGGTAAACGACAAGTACAAAGTGTGTGGAAGGACTACGTAGACTCCAAAACTGTTGTTGTTGCCTCTGCACCGGCCAACTCCTCCACAAAACCAACTCGCATACCACACACGACCGACACTATTGCGTCCGTGCAAAAGTTTGTCCGCGACAAAAGGCAGATTCGCGCTCGCGTAACTGCTGTGGATGTGTTGTCGCATCTAGCAAACACGGGGGTCATGGAAGTTGACCGCTCCAATAAACAGTCCTCCAACTCGGCGCTGCGTGCTGTTCAGCGATTCCTGCGGCGCTGTGGATTCAAGCGTGGAGACAAAAGAGTAAGTACAGTGGCTACCAAAAGTCATCATACATTACGCAACATCTGTACATTGAAGGCCACAACTCCAAAATTCCATGGTGTTTGAAGTCGCTTGAGTGTGCAATCAGTAGATGTGTGAAAGGACATCAAAGCTACAAGATAGCTCAGTACTGTATGAAATGCGTAACTGCCTCCGACATCGTCGAACGAAGCATGACACATGGATAATTCAGGCTCCAAAAGTCATCATGCAAAATCCTTCAAAACCCCATATATCTCACATTAAAAGAGTCCAATCAAACAATCTACCCTTTAATGCACTTCTAAACTTTCCTGCTATCGAATCAAGCCGTCCAATCCTTCGTTTAAGCCATGGTGGCCACCAAAACCACGCGAAAGGAGCATCCACCTGAAATTCGCGCTCTCGTATCGACTTTGAGTTCATGCAGGACAATGCACCAATTCATACTACGAGGAGTGTGAAGGCGTTTTTTTACTTGAACGATTTCAACTTGCTTCCTCACCCCCCCAAAGCCCCGACCTCAACCCCTTGAACATGTGTGGGAGTACATCAAACGTCGAGTGCGCAAGAACCCGCCATCATCGATTGAGGGCTTGAAGGAGCAAATCGTCAAGAGTTGGGACAATATTCCTACTTCTTACATCCGGGGTCTCATTGATTCGATGCCTAAATGTCTTGGCATGGTCATTGAAAAATCTGGAGGACCAACGAAGTACTAAGAGCCTAGATCAACTCAAAATACCTCAAGTGTATGGTGACTTTTGGTTTTTAGGTTTTTCGTATATCCGGATTTATATTTTGGCCAATACACAAACGAGGACAATCATTAGCATCACATTATTGGCTCGAACAGTGCGAATTTGAGGATCAAACAACCGTAACAGAGGGTATTGTACTTCGGACGCGATTGTGAAAAAACGCGTTTTATCTTGACCGTATGATGACTTTTGGTAGCCACTGTACACTCCCTTTAATGATAACAACGTTATCATTAAAGGGAGTGTAGGTAGGCAGTACCAAGATGACACGACGTTTGCCGAGGTCGGACATCGGCTTGACGCGGCGGTCGCCAACTTGTCTTCGCACGCCATCTTCGGCTGCATTCGCAAGGCCCAGATGGACCTCCTTGATCTACACAGACACGTGTCAGTCCTCGACGACGACAACATTCGTGAGGAGAGTGGTGTGGACGGCAGCGTGTCCGACAGTACCGCGTCAAGTTCTTCGTCACTCGACTCGGCCAACTCCGACGGTTGATTCGATTGCTCTAAAATTTGATAATTGCAAAAGTCTATAAATGGTTCCAAACCGTCGACATCGCTTTTTGCAG